TTTGTTGAGTAGGTGGATTATAGATATGGTAATAACCATAAGAATGATAGGTAACAGGTTCGATTCTCTGTTCAACTTGGAATTATTCAATTGACTTTGAATATGATCATTGATAGGATTAATTCAGTATTAGGATAGAATATATATAGTTAATAATGTATAATAGGATAATATAGGTCCATAAAGAAAATTCCCTTATTATAAAAAAGGTAACGGGTTCGATTCCCTGTAAGGTTAAAAAAATAAATAAATAAATGAATAATAATGTTATACTTTGAAAATTTACCCAACTATGGAAAAGAGGCTATAAAGATTTATCATAAATGTTTTCTTGAATATTAACTTACCCGACTGAAATAAAATGGTGTAAAGAATTTTACTAATATTTTCTTGATTGTTTTATGTACTACCACATGATGCGGACTTCCCGAGAGAGAGCAGGCTGGCGCTCATGCAGACGTCAGCGATACTGACGATGATCCACCCTGAAGATGATGGAGACACCCTCTACGAATTCGCGTCGTTTTCGTTTCAATTTGGTCGCGTCGCGTTCGTCAAAATCGTCACTTGTAGTAGTTTGACTTGGGGGTAGGGAACCCTTAGTATTCCATGGGAATTGGGTTTAATCTTGTTTGATGCTAGATGTCCTTACCCAAAATTTCTATTACGTTTGCGCATCATGGGTGTCTAATAAAGTACAAGACAATAAAGTGGTGGACCACGTCTGTATCTTTATTAAAGATGTACGAAAGTAAACATTAATTATAAATTCTTTAGGTTTTGCTCAAATCCAGTTCAATGTTTACGAATCTTAGGAAATGGTTTGAATTTCGTTTCGTACATCTACTTAGTATGGGAAGTAATGAAGTTTCAAAATATAAATTTTCTTGATATTTAATGGTTTAATAAATGGGATAGGGTAAAGTTTTGCTGATAGATGAAAAAAAAAAAATTGCTTGGGTAATTTAAGTTATAGCTAGGGTTAGCTTTGTTTTTTTGTTTTTGCCGACTGATGTCGATGTAAAGTAAAGTAAAGTTAAGGTTAGGAGGGAGATGTACGAGGGATTTTGTTAAGGTTTTGCTCCCGTAAAGTCTTTGCAATAAAACTTTGCAAACAGTTAGGGTTCTTTTCCCGTAAAGTTTTTTTTTGCAAGTTTTGCAAACTTATTGTGAGGGCTAGTCTGTAGTAAAGGCCACCTCCCAGTTGTATTTATGTCCTTAAGCAGGTAGGGATTTTAGATAGGACTGTCGAACCCTCTCGATGTAGTAGGTAGGAAAAAAAAATTTTGTTCGGTCATCTGGTATGACAAAACAATTTTTTTTTTTAGAGGTGCCGGAGGGATGTAACGTCCTTGACGTTATAACCTCCTTGTTTAGGTAAACTCTTTGCTTTTGCAATGCCTACGGTTGGCAGTTATATTAAAAAGTTAATGTCATGATTTTAAGATTTGAAATAAGGAATCGTCTGTCTTTTGATAGAAGGTTCCATTCTAGATTAGATCTTCAGGCACCAAGAACTTCCTCTCGTATTTAGATAAAATTCTTTATAATCGCCTGAATGATAAAATAAAATAAATAATTTATCTCTATCAGTATTTTTTCAATTATCGTCTACGCCCCTAGGTTCTATCCATTCTGGGTAGAACTCTATAGTACCTACATAGAAATAAATCCTAAAAACAAATCCTTACATAGCCTGGGATACTATTAAAAACCAATATCCAAATATTTGTAGAGTGGCAATCAGACATTTATCAATCATTTCCAGGTATGTGTCTTCTGAAAGACTATTTTCAGAAGCTGGGCAAATCGCCACCCACATGAGAAACAGATTGACTGGTTCTCATCTTTCGATGTTTGTCATCCATAAATGAGTCTCAATGGAAATGTTAGTGATTAAATAAACATTCTTATTTTAAAATTGTAATTCTTTCTTACAGTCTGGAATTTTTCTTCGATTAATCGATATCATAAGTGCAATTAATCGATTAATTGTAATCGACACTGTAGAAATAATCGATTACTTTGCTATAGATTATCATCCCTACCACGCCAACAATATGCCCCTTGCCAGCCTGCACAAATGCTTCTTCACGCCTCTTACAGATGACCCCAGATTGTAGAAAAGAGGGAACATGGGCGCGGGCAAAGAATTCCACTTGCAAATAGTACGACAAAAAAATAAGTCACCAAATCCCTTTGATAATAGAGGAAGGGGCCACAGTAAGTAAGGGATACGGGAGAATAGCTCCTCAGAACAAATAAAAATAACTCGCTGTGTTATAGGAAAATTTGTTTTGTTTTTCGATTAAAGAAAAAACGGACATGTGCTATACCCTTAGCACGAACCATTATCGAATTCGAATAGTTTGCAAGTGCGAAATGTCAATGTCAAATTTTGTATGGAAACTTGAACAGCAGCGTCACAAAGTATGTAACGAAAACTAAAAATGAGTACACATTTGATAATGACATTTCGGACTCGCAAACTATTCGAATTCGATATTGGTTCGTGCCCCCTAGCACTATTCACATGCGATAGTAGTGAAACCTACAAAAATCTGAACACGTAAAAGTCCTTCACGACTAGGTACGTCTTAAAGACAACAACTGTAAATTCAACTCTCTAGGTCAAAATAAAATATTTTATACTTTAATTGTTTTGATAAATAAATAATTTAATAAAAGAAAAAAAATAAAATGTGCCTTCTGTTTTAAGACATTATCAGACTTATCACTTTTAATGAAACATTAATAAATTGTTTAATTCGTTATATTTTCCGCAAAAAAAATAAACTTTATTACTTAGACTAGACATCAAGTTTCATAAATGTACTTGCGATCACACGCTCCATCTATAGAATTTTAAGCAAACTATTTTAAATGTTAGATAATTTAAAGCATGCGTATATGTCAGTCTTCTTTACAAAAGCACTGCCTTAATTGTATAAGAAAATGCTTAATTTCTCGATAGACCTACACACATATGCTGAAACTGGGGAGTTCTCAGGCATAGGCATGAAAAAAGATATGAAAAAAACCTTTATTGCTTAGTTTTGCAATTTGCTATCTTGTTGAGACTGCCCCAGGGAGGCAACGAAAGTAAAACAATACTTCGTAAAAATAACCAAAACCACCTTTACACCTCATTCTCTGACACCACCATGATAATGCCAGCTGTCACGCTGCCAAATAATCGAATTTTTAGGAGGGAAAGCTAGATTTTTCTTAGTACCCGTGAAAAAACATACAGTTGCGACCTATACTATGGAAAACACGCGCTCAATAAATAAATCAATAATTAAAAATATTTACACGATTTACGGTTTTTATCGAAAGAAGGAGCTGTCTACTATATATGACTAACGACAAAAACTAGTCACTGTTAAGGGTACAGACAACTAAATTTACAACAGGTAGTATAGGTATTAAATAAGTCGCTAATGACCTCTATCTAAGTCGCCGGTACTGCAGACCCTGTTCATAAATACTCGCGTCCACGAAGCTCACTGAATCAACTGGAATCAAATCGTGATAATACGCCAGCTGTATACTTTTATTACGAAATAGCGTCCATTATTAACAAGCCGAAGCGAATCGGGGATTTCAAGTATGTAAGTTACAGTATTGTACACGAGGTACTAAACTTCCATAAGATGACTATAATATTATGATATGATGAATTAGATTAGAATGATAATCATAGTGTGATTTATCACGTGGCCGTACCAATATCTATATAAAATACTTTTATTTCGAAAAAACATGGATACTGTCTGTAGCTATGATTTAAGCACTATCATTATCAGTGAAAGCGGCATTCGTTATGCTGTTATCCTTACATCTAATCAAATACCTTTGATAAAGGAAAAGGTTTGTAAGCAACAACATGAACATGAACGTTCAATAAATTTAAGGTTAATTGCTTAGGTTTTAGGGAATACCCAATTTAATCCCTACATGCTATGATAAGAGCCCCTTTCACATTTTTTACAAAAAATCGTAATTTTTGAGCGCCTCTTTTACCCCCTTAGAAACGATTTTGACTATTTCCAATAGAAGAAAACAGTAGATTTATTTTTCCTTTTGTAAGTAAATGTAGAATATTTGCAAATAATATTTTCTTTTTTTGTACAGATCATTCTCCTGCAGCTAGTTTACGGAAAAAACGAGATTAGATCAAATTAATTACTACGACATCAGCAATATGTTTTTGTTGTAACATATTGTATTAGAATATTGATTTTCCAACTCATTAATTATCAAAAAAAACATCTAACCTACATGAGTTTTCCCAAAAAATAACGCAGGTTTACCTCGTATTTTGATATTGAATTAAATAGAATTACTATCAAAAAATTTCTTAAAATGATCTACCATCATTGAACTACTGAAATATGTATATATTCTTATAATTAGTTCATTAATAATTATTTTATAAGACTCGAAACATCACCCGTAAAATGCAATATATACTAGTGCAATCTACCTACGCGCATCGGCGCGTGGTGCATGCTGTACTGATCGCAGTACAGCAGCGGCGCAATTTTGTAAAAGGGCTCATAATGCATGTTGTATTTGTACATTCTGAGATCTCGTGATTCAGTTCTATGTGCGTAGTTGTATTCAGTAGTCATTTAATATTTATAGGGTGATCAAAAATTGCATGCCAAATCTGTGCGGAGTAACCGGTTAAGTGTATAGAACGTCTTTACTTCTGACAAGTGAAGTTAAATAATAATAAAAACAATAGTAGAAAACTGAAGTATAGGTATAGGTTCTCACCTTGTCCTTTTTAACGCCGGTTAGAAAACACAGAATCCGATCCTGCGTGTCCTTTAAGAGTGGAAGATAAATCTTAACCCATTCAATGAAGAAAGAATGTCATGTTTCCAAAATTTTACTATAATTAGACATGAATCAAACACAATCATCCCTCACAGAACAAGCAGTTCATTAACTCGAATGTCATCTTAAATACATTGTTATCATTTACTTACCAAACTATCCGAGTCGGTTGTGTGTTCGTCGCATTTCGGCTCCTCTTTCTCCTGGCCTGAGAACATTTTCCTATGCACTTTCTTGAACTCGTCCATTAACGCGTCATGCTGTTTCCTCTTATCATTGTCCACAGGCTTTGGTACAGGTTTTTTTGGAGGCGCCGGCGCTACTTTTATCTCTGGATTTGATGTTTTCTTATTCTGGAAATAAATATAATTATTAAGTAATGATTTTTAACATGCTATAATGAATGATGATACAAAAGACATCAACGCGTCAACATTAAATTATATTATTAATAGGACATTTAAGACGTTTTAAATATTCTAATAGATTTAATATGTATGTTAATAAAATTGGATTAATGTGTGTAAATGGACAGTCAATACTAGAATATATTGTGACCGTTTCACTAATGCATATTGTGCTCGTGATCGTAGAGCTATGTTTGTACGTATGTAAATTTTTGTTTTTCTTTAGTCATAATAACACTTGTGCATAGTCTAAGGTGGGTGTTGCTTCTATAAAAAACGAGTGTGCTTATAACCACACGACTGAAGTGACGCTTCTTTAGCTCCCTCTGTATGTATAAATATATATATATATATGTGTACAATATATACATATCTGTACATATACATATTTAATTTACTAACTATAAGAGAAAGAGAGAAAGAAAATGTGCGCGCTCACTGCTTTCTCTTGCTTATATCCCCACTCAACTTCCGTTCGCCTCGCCCAAACACACTTTTCGTAACGCGTAACGCATTCGCCATCTTACCCCCCAAGTCAAGTGTGCGTAAAGAAGTCTCACTTCAAAAATTAAACTTAAAAATCCGTAAGGCAAGCCCTACACAAGAATTGTTCTTAGCACGAAATAGGAAATTAGATGCGCTTCAGCGCACCTAAGATCTTTATATCTAGTGAGTTGTCTTAGTCAATAATATATTATTTTAAAACTGCGAAGTACCTGGATTCGAACCGAAACCGTGACATTGAAATGCAGCTATTAAAGTTTCGACAATTATTGATTGTATATAGTGTATTGTAAGCTAAAATTTGTTAAAGCCTCTGCAGCATCAATGTCCCCCCACATCAAAGGGGCCACTCACCAATTTTCTCCTTTGGATCTCTTCTGCAATGGCACTAGATAATGTGGCTGAGCTCGATATACTCGTAGAATCAGTCAAGTCCTTCATTGGTGGAGGTGGAAAGTTGCAACTCGTCTTTGCACACGACAAACCGCTACTGTGATGGACTTCCACTACAATAGTTTTCTTCTCATTTTCCCTAGTATGATTTGCCGTAAATGTGTTCTTTCTCGGCGATTGATTATTTTCGTAACTACATTGTATTGTGGCACCGTCTTCTGATAGATTGATAATAGTTCGGTTGGAGGGGCTGGTAATGAAGTCTTTCTTTGTTTTATTGCGTAGGTTATGTTTGTTCTCGAAGGTGTGGGGGTTGTTCGGTATACTAGGGCAGTCGTAGTCTGGCTCGATGTCGGATGGTGCGTCAAAATTATGTATATCATCGTTCTTCCACTCGAATTCTAAGCTGTCCCATGTTCTTCTCTTCAACCTATTCATTGTTAACCTGTAACAATGATTATAACTGTAAAAAAATAAATAAAAATTAATCATACAATGTAATAAAGCAACTCTCGTTAATTGTTATTAAACCAAATAATTTAATCGAGTCATATATTAACTAACGAATAAATTCAACTATAGTTTGTCCATTATATTATTATCTTTTTGACACATCGATCGAAGTAAAAATAGTGACACCCTCCCTATCACATAACTCGTTCGATTTAAAGCTATAATCGATTTTATGCTAGAACATTGTTTAATCGATAATAAGTTTCGAAATTATTTTAGTTATCAAAAATACTGGTGTTTAATAAATTATTACAAAATTTCATTAGATTACCTAGTATTATTTTACCTAGTACAAATATTTGTGTGATGAGCACGAGTATTTGTTCTGTCTCTGGGTGTGTTTTGTCTATATTATGTATACACAACACACACAACACACAGTACACAACAAAAAAAGAAGTATACTTTTTATATGTTTGTTTATTCTTATACTACTATTAATACTCTGTACAATTAGATTAATTGATTATAATTAATAATTTCATTGTATAAAAGGTTTATAAAAAACTATATCTTTAATTTTTGACGTGACAACGTCTTAAATTAGGTTGCGGCTGGGAGTCACTTATGAAAAAGTGTAACGCTCGGTAACGTTACGATGAGTCTCTCGTGTTAAGTTTAAGTTTACATGTACAATGTTTTAGTAAACAAAATATATTTCTATAGTTAAAATTTGTGCAATTCTTATTTTCATTCAATTCCTTGTTCCTATTGTGCAATTTAATTATATTCATATCAATAAATATTCTACCGAGAAAAAGACGTTGTCACGTAAAATCTTCGCCCGTAAAACCGACTTTACAGGCAACCATTTTTTTTTCCTTACAATTTGGTTGAACTCATTTATTTCTACCGATTATTTGTAATCTGTGGCACAATTTTAGTAATCATTATGTGTGGCACATCACTAAGTGGACGGTACCTGTCCACGAAGTGCAATATTATTTGTATGACAGTTTAACGTAAACACTACAAAATTTCATGGGCGTCGATCTGTCAAAAAGATAATAATAGAATGGACAGACTATGGTACTTTGCGATTCTAAGAGTTGTCGTTTAATTTTATTTTATAGCACAGGGACGCCGTTTGTAAACATTCAGCATAATGTAGTTAAACATATGTCATGTAAAGTGTGTTATTTCTCAAAACTGCCGGGGAAGATTTGGATGCGCCTTTGTATTTAAGCTTATTTGAGATACCCTACATAAATACTACAACTGTCGGTATTGTGGTTATTGGGCCAATTCGCATACATATTTGAACAGTCTCTTTTTATGACGCGATTTAAGCCGCTGAGTGCGCAGTTGTTTGCTGCATCTGTTGTGAGCGCGCGCGGTTCTCGATTATCCACAGATGGGTGGATCCTCTTGTTAAGTTCTTTTGATCTCTCAGCCGCAGCGGCTGCGGCACTACACGAAAATAGCTCTGCGGCCGCCCGCAGCGGGTGCATTTTCTTAGACTTAATCTAAAGCAATTGTACTAGATAAAAAAATGCTATTGAATGTTATCAAACCTGTCTATGTCTTTTATCATGCATGCGCGTGGTGACTTTCAAATTAGGAAAAACTTGTTTCGCATTTGAAATTTTCGTATGATTAAGGTTTATAATTTTTGGTTAACCTACTAAAGTAAAGTAGTGGTCCTTGTTGGCTGAAATTCGCTCGCTCGTCCTGCGGACGTTGCCGAGCTGCAGTGCTATTCTGTAAGAACGAAATCACTCTTCACCGGAATCCACGGTTTGATTTGAAATGAAAATACAAATTTGTAATGTATTTCAAATCAAACCGTGGATTCCGCGGTGATAAGTAATTTGTTATTAGGTTTCCCACGCCCTGCGCCTGCGCGAAGAAACTTTGAATAGCATTGGTACTAAATGCGCTAAAAGTTAGCATTCGAAATTTAAAATATTTCTGTCGTAATGAATTAACGGGCTGCGTAACAACAGACGCTAGACGTTAGCTTGACTGGCGATAATTTGACACGCTAAAAAAGGTTGTGGAAAACGAAAAATTTATATGTGCAGCTGAGGGAGCGTATTTAATTTAAAGTTCGAACGCTAATTTTACCGCATTTTAGTACCAAAGCCACCAAAAGTTCCATCACGCAGGTGTGGGATAAGCATTACAGAATAGCACTACTGTTGCTCCCGGGCGACACCAGCGCCGTGAACTATGTACTGTTGTTACCTATCGGCGCGGTCGGCGGCTTCCTCCGCGACGCTAGCCAGCCGCCTGCGCAGCGCCGCGGGCGGGGCCAGGGGCGCAGGCGGTGCGGGTGCGGCCGCGGGGCTGCGCTCCCCCGCCGCAGACGACGCCGAGCTGTTGTAGCCGGAGCTCTCGGGCGACACCAGCTCCGTGCCGGCGCCCTCGCGCACCACCAGCTCGAGGCGACCCACCGCTTTCATAGCTGATATTGCCTGGAATGTATAAAACAAATATACAGGGTGTTACGAAAATACAAATAAAGCTTGAAGGGCGTTGAAGTACATCATATTATATATTTACTTAAAATGTTTCCATGAAATTATAACTTTTTATAAAATCATATATTTTTAATGATCCTCGAACTAGTGATGTGTCTTCAAATGATCGATATTTTTATTAATCATTAAAAATAACTGTTTTTATAAAAAACTACATGCAAATATTTTAAGAAAATTAGAGAAGACTCCTTATATGATGTACTTCAACGCCCTTCAAGCTTTATTTTTGTAACACCCTGTATATAGGGCCTACTGGGGACGTTGCTGGTGGAGCTGGGCTGGCTGGATCGGCCCTGGGAACACACGTAAAACAGGTGCCAAATGGACGTCGAGTTGCCGAGACATCCATTGTAAAGAAGAAGTTCTGTGGTCATATTTTCTTTTAAAATTATGTATTTACATTATTTTACTAGAAAAAAATCCACACGGACCAGGCAGAAGTCGGGACTAGAACCCGCACCCGCCGTTATCCGGGCGGATGTACCGACTTATTTGCTACCGCTGCCTTAATGGCAGTGTCGAATGTCCTCTGGTATTTTTTCGGCAAGGCAGTGCCTTAGATTTAAAAAACTAATATGTCTAAAAAACATAAAAATGTTATTATTTAAAATATAACTATATTTTAAAAGATTAAATGTTGTAAAGAGTAATTTAACAAAGAATAAGAAAAGGTGCCTGCCTATCTTATAAGTTGTTGTTTTTAGATTTACTGATATCAAAATAGAAGAACTTAATCGGATTAAGGAGTAAGAGTCCAAGGACATATTACAGCTTGTTTATAGTCATAATTTTGGAAAAAATATTACTTACCTCGTTGAATGTTACATTAGCGAAGTCTTGGCCGTTGCATGACATGATCTGATCGCCCGGTCTAAGACCCGCCTCCTGCGCGATGCCTCCTTCCCGCACGAACTGTACGAAAATGCCTGGCTTCCATTCGGGCCCTTTACAAATTCTGAAATGTAATGTATAAGATTTAGTACTTTAAGAAAATAGAAAACGCCTCAATAATACAATGCTATTATTTATATTCAGTCTAATCTATACTAATGTCATAAAGAGGTAAAGTTAGTGTGATTGTAGGAGGTAATCTCCAGATCTACCAAACCGATTTTGAAAATTCTTTAAAATAAAAAAACACGTTATTTGTGGGTGTCATAGGTTATATAATAAAACAAAAACTATAGTCTAGTCTATAGCGACACGAGGGCAGGCCACTAGTCAAGAATAAAGATCAGAACGAAGATATTAAGCAAAATTGTACATTTATAGCAGAACAGAATTTGACAACATGTTATCTACAGTACAACCAAGATCTTGTGGCGTGTATCCGAAATTGGAACTAATTTTCAGAAGGTATAAAATAAGCCTTTTATTAGAAGAGGGAGGTGCAAATAAGCCTTTTATATTTCCTATTACTCTTTTCAAGTTATTATATAATTACAACGTTCCCTTTAAGATACTTATGTAATCAAATACGCTTTAGGGAGGAGATTTTACGTTAGTACTCTTCATTTCACCCTTAGATTAAAACAAAAAGGCACGGCACTCGCGGCTCAAAAGTGATCCGTTTAAATTGTGCATGACCATAATTCGCATTAGTCACAATTGGACATTCAAACACGCTGCATGTGCACTCAATATAATAATATTGCGTATATTCTGTGTTATAAAGATAAAACAATGCCTTCGATGCTTTTATAAAGAACACAAATAGTTCAAAATCAAATAAATGTCTCGGCAACACTTTTCATTCGTAAAACTGTAAAAACATATTTTTCTCAAAAATCACGGTTTGTCGTGAATGTTATTTAAGTAATCGCCATTTTTGTTATCAAGAAATGGACAACAATACAGCTTAGCCGTTCGGACTTGGAAGCGGACTCGCCGTTTCGTTCGCGCTGCGTTGAAGCGAACACTACCCCTAGCACGAACCAATATCAAATAGTATCGTTTGCGAGTCCGAAATGTCATTGTCAAATGTGTACAGTAAGTACTCCTGGCACGAACCATTATCGAATTCGAATAGTTTGCAAACCGGTATGTCAATGTCAAATTTTGTATGGAAACTTGAACAGCAGGGCCACAAAGTACGTAACGGGAACTAAAAATCAGTACACATTTGACAATGACATTTCGGACTCGCAAACGATACGAATTCGATATTGGTTCGTGCTAGGGGTACTGATTTATAGTTCTCATTACGTACTTTGCGGCGCTGCTGTTCAAGTTTCCATACAAAATTTGACATTGACATTTCGGTTTGCAAACTATTCGAATTAGATAATGGTTCGTGCTAGGGGTACAATACCCTTAGCACGAACCAATATCAAATTAGTTATCGTTATGTACTTTGTAGCGCTGCTGTACAAGTTTCCATAAAAAAATTGACATTGACATTTCGCACTCGCTAACTATTCGAATTCGATATTGGTTCGTGCTACGGGTACAGTTCTGTCTCGCTCTCTCGATTGAATGTTTATATACAGACGTGTGCGTGCGAGAGTTGCTTATAATAATAATATAAATAATAATAATAATAAATATATCTTTATTCAAATAAGGTCATACATTGCATAATAATACTAATAACAATATAAAGTACAAAATAATGGATGCCTGAACTAGGTTACAGTTAAAATTGTACCTGTATTTGAGGCTTTTATGATTGAATGATTAATAAATTAACAAATTAATTAAAACAGAACTTAAAGTAATCATTATATAAATGTTGGTAAATGTAAATTATGGAGTTACGTTTATTTATTTACAAATACGAAGTAATTCTTCGGTCTGCTCGTATGTCAGGCTGTGCAAATAATTAAATACTACAGTTCTACAGTTAGAATAGTTTAATGTATAAATACCTAATACTCTATTTAACTTATTATATAAGAAAGGACTTAGGAAAGTAGAGAATCTATGTGAAAAGATGTATTTTGAATCATGTGTAGAGATGCAGACTATATCTTTCCGTCTTTGTTAGTGATATCAGAGCAAAAAGGTGAAATGGTGTGTTGTTTTAATATGGTGTGCATAATGAAAAGCTGGCGAACAGTTAACACATTACAGTATTTGTAAAGTTGATGCGTAAGATATAAGAAGGGAAGTGAATTGGCTACTTTTAAAATGGCTCTCTGAGCTCGCTCGAGAGGGATTAAAATAGTTTTGAGAGCTCCACCCCATGAAGTTATACAATATTGAATTACTGATTGGCATAAGGCCTGATATACCTGTTTAATTAGTTTTGGACCTGCAATGGTACGTAATTTTTTAAAATTTATACATTAATTTACGGATCCTGACTACTAGATTTGCAATATGCTGTCTAAAAGATAATGTGTCGTTAATTAAGATACCAGGATATTTTATATGGGATGTGTTCTGTATTAAAGGGCAATCGCATTTATTGACTGAAGGATATTGGCATTGGTGTGCGTATAAGTTAGGATTTGTAAACCCATGACAAGGCTAGCGCATAGAAAAGTGAATATAATTGGTTTTGTCAGTATTCAGTGTTAGTAAATTGCAGCGAAGCCAGTTATTTACACCATTAAGACCAAGTTGAGCTACCTCATATAATTCTGACCTACTATTGGCGCTAAAAATCAAGGCCGTATCATCGGCGTAAGATATAATTTTACCACATTTTAAATTAAGGTTACATAAATCATTGATGTAAACGAGAAAAAGGGTAGGGCCGATTATACTTCCCTGGGGAATACCATAGCAGGTCATTTTCTGGTAATCACTTTTAATATTTCCTATTTTAACGCATTGAGATCGATTGTCTAAATAATCTGCAAATAGTTTTAACTGCGTTCCTCTAATACCCAATGCTTCCAACTTTTTTAGAAGCTTCGGAATTGAAACGGTATCGAACGCTTTTGCTAAATCAAGAAAAACAGCTAGAGTATGCTTTCCTTTGCCTAGTTCCTGAGTAATATAGTTAGTCAGGTTATGCACTGCATCTGCTGTTGACAACTTTGCCCGAAAACCAAATTGCGTAGGTGACAAATAGTTATTTTTTTCCAGGTAGTCAATAAGCCTTTTGTTAATATTTTTTTCTAATAGTTTTGATAATCTTTACATCCAGATTTATAGACAGGAGTAACTACTGCTTTTTTTAAACATTGTGGAAAAATACCCTGCGAGAGGCAGATTTGAAAAATGCGTGTTAACGGTGGTATTAAAATATGCTTAAAAGTTTTGAGGATTTTATTGCTAATGTTATCAAAGCCGACTGCACTGTCATCTTTCAAATTTGTAATTATTTGTAAAATTTCTTGTTGGTCGGTATCTAACATAACAAAACTATTCCTACTAGTGGTAGCGTTAAGTGACTGAGAAAATAGATTTAGAGGTTGGTGGCGTTCTGCAAGGTCTTTTCCCATATTAATAAAATAGTTATTTACATAATTGGCTGATATAAGCGGTGAAGGATGGGTTAATAGTAAACTCGAACACGATTCGTGCCTTTTTGAAGTGTAGGTAAAATTTTTAATATGTCTCCAAAGGCGTTTGCTATCCTTGCCTGCTTTGAGTAGTTCATTTTTTTCATAATTTGTTTTTAATTTTTTCAAAAGATTATTAACGAAATTCCTGTATCTCCTATAGATAACTAGTAATGTGAGGTTATCGGGATATTTTTTTGGCCTCATATGAAGTTTATCCCTGTGTCTTATACATCGAATAATACCCGGGGTTATCCAAGGTTTGATATTTTGATATTGTTTATTTGAAGCAACTACAGACGTATTATGTAATATAGCTTGTTCAACATTATTAATTAAATACAACAAAGATGCATTCGCGTCCGTCGATTGAAAAACTGGGGCAAAGTCAAACTTGCATAAATCGTGTTCGAGTTTCTTTATGTTTAGCTTAGATTTTACTAGTTTATGATTCAGTTTAGGCAGCGATAAATTTAAGGTTAGTAAGACAGCGGAATGATCGGTAAGCGGCGTTTTTGTGACAAGTGTTAGATATGTTGACCTAGATTTTATCATCATATGGTCGAGACAAGAACCACTCTGATGTGTTGGTAATGTATGGGCTGGGTAAAAACCATGGTACGAACATAGATTGAGATAATCTTGGGTTCCAGCATCATGTATGTCGGGCATAATGTTTATGTTAATATCACCCGTAATTATTACATTTTTAAAAGATGTTAATGATTGAAGTATTTGATCTAAGTTTCCGTTGAAATTATCTATATTTGTGACAGATGGGGATCTATATATTGCGACAATAACTGTATCTTGGTTAATATGTACCAACAAACAACTACAACCTTGAAGAGCTGGTTCCTCGAGGGTGACTTGCAAGGAGTCTCTAACATAAATGACTATTCCATCATTTTGGTTGTGATTATTTTGACTATAAAATAAGTTATAACCTGACCTTGTTGGTAGGTTGCCGTTCCGTTTTGTTAACCAGCACTCGGTTAGTATAATTACATCACAAACAAAGTTAAGCCTATGGAGGAAAATATCAAAATTATCAATATTTTTATAAATACTACGTATATTTTGGGTGAGTACAGTTAATGAGTTTTGATAAGCGGTCAGATATTGTCTACACTCTTCGACTTCACATAAACATGAATTAGACATAGATAGATCATCTATTTCATTAATTATATTAATGTCCATAGTAAAGTTCTAATTATAACAAGTAAGTGGCCCTCTAGGCGCCTTCATAATCAATAGTATTAATGTACCTAGTTTCGGCAGCTTTTTTAGCTGGACATTCGGCATCTCCGGTACTATGGCCGCACGGTTTTTTAAATTTAATGCAAGTGGCACATTTTGGTGGATCGGCTTTTTTTGTGCAGTCTTTGAGAGAATGGCCATCTTCGCCACAGTGGCCACAGGTAGAAGCTGTCGCCTTGCAAGTTTTAGCGGCATGGCCATATTGCTGGCAATTATAGCATCTAGTTACAAGTGTGAAATCACGTACCGAGCAAAAATTCCAGTTAATAAAAGTCTGTCCTGTATCATTAAGGCTTTGCGTATAGTAGCAGGTACTTCTAAAATATAGTTGCAGGTGTCTGCATCTCGTTTTCCTGATTTGTGGCTCAGTTTTATAGAGTTCAGGAAAGTATCTCTAGATATACACACATCAAAAGTGTCTAGGGATCAACATATATTTTTGCAATAACTTTTCTCCTGATTGATATTAATTAAAATTTTCTTTAAGGATTCATCAAATAAAGTGTTTTCGTTTGTCACAGTAACGATAAACCAAGTCACCTTTGCATTAATAAAGAAATTTGCCATTTTCCTAATAAAGGGATTTTTGACATTTGAACCACTAACACAAAAGTTCGAAAAAAAGACTGAAATAACAGTTTTCTCTAAAATTTTATTGGGTAACTTAAACAATTAATAATCCGTATTTCTACCGCGAACACTAACAACACAAGAACATCGGTTTGGCATACTCAAAATGAGTTCATCCAAATCACGCTGTGGAATGGCCGCCCATGTTCGTTGCAACAACAAAAAAAGGTCTTCTTGCGACTGGATACCCTCCATATTCGGCAGAGCTCTTCTCTGTAGCATATCCCATGCATGCTCAATCGGGTTCAAGTCTGGCGACTGAGCAGGCCAGGGCAGGACATTGATGTTAGCTGCGGCGAGAGTCTGTCTTACAACTCTTGCGGTGTGCGGTCGTGCATTATCATGCATTAACTGAAATAAGGGACCGATTTGCACTTGTAGAGGAACGATGACGTCTGATACAATCGTCTCAGCATAAATTTGAGCGTTGAGGTTGCCTCTGATCCAAATCAACTCAGTTCTTCCGCCGATCCAAATACCCGCCCATACCATGATGGTTCCACCACTATAAGGATGGACTTCCTGGCAGGATTTTAATCGCTGTTGGCGTCCAGGGGTTCTCCAGTGTCGTATACGTCTTGTATCCGGTCTCATACCAAAACGAGACTCATCAGAAAAGCACACGAAACGCCATTGTTCTTCTGCCCAATTTCTGTGTTCAAGAGCCCATTGATATCGAATCCTACGATTGTGCATTGCTATAGGTGGTACCCGTAGCGATCTTCGGGAATGAAGGTTCACTTCATGCAAGCGGTTTCTGACTGTTTGGTCGCTAATTAAGTTCCCTGAAGAGTGATGAAGCCTCACGGCTAACATCATGGCGGTTATTGTTGGAGCTCTTCGAGTTAAGATTTGAATGTATCGGTCTTGTCTCCGTGTGGTGCAGCGATACCGTCCTCCATGGCGCTCAGCCACGGTACCAGTGCTTCGGTATCGTGTCCAAAGTCGACTGATAACACTCTGACTTGTATTCAGAGCTAAAGCCACAGTACGTTGCCGGGAACCAGCTTCTATCATTCCCACGGCTCTGAGCATTTCTTCCCTGCTTAAATGACGTTGCCGCTCCATAATAACGTTGGTTTTAATCAGTAGTAGGGAAACAGTAGCACTAATAATGTCTTCAATGCGTTGTATGTTTTTATAGGGAAAATATTGACAGCTGATTTTCATCTTTTACTCGAATTTGATTCACAGTTCCTGATTCAAATTATGAAATGCACCAAAAAGGATCCATATAAATTTATAAAATCATAAATTTATTACAAAGCCACATCTCAATCTCAAGAAATCCGCATAAAAATGCTTGATCCCTAGACACTTTTGATGTGTGTATTTAATGACGATTCTGCTATGTTTTGCTCGTAGATGCACTTATAGACGTCACTTTCAGTCATAGATGAAGGTACTCCTATGATTATACTACGCGGCTTGCGTTTATTGGTGTCATCAACAGTCAGGTCTGAGTTTGCTAACAGCACTGAATTTTTCAATTTATGAATGTCGTCTTTGGTCTCAGTGCTGACGATCACTCCTCCATTTCTTACTTTACGAAGACCACGTACTTTCAGTTTCATCTCCTCGGGGCTAATACTTTTTTGTTTCGTCACTACTTTGTGCAGCATTGCTTGGGTAGATTACCACAGAACTGACAGGGCTAGGGCGAATAAAGTTGTTGGATCCCTTTTTTCCATGTCTGCAAAAGACGTGTTTGTTGTAGCAGATTTAGTGCAGGATTCCTGTATAGTCTTTTTAAAATCAGTAAGACAAGCTAATTAGCAAATTAGAGTGAGTTGATAACGCCTTTTGCTTTAAAGACTGATATTGAACAGCCATTTGCGCAACTCCATGTCCAACTTTTCGGCAGAGATTATTAATCCTAAGTTTGTGGTCAGATACCAGTTTTCCCTCATTCGATATGGTACATACTTCTTGTAAATATTGCTCAATTGAGGTAAGCCAGTTTTGTATTTCCGGAGTAGATACTATTTTTAAGGTATCCATATCATCCTGGTCTTGAGCTGGATGGCTGGGCGTCGTTGGGGGAGGAGTGCGGCGAGTAATACCGCTTCGATTGAAGGGGCTCTCACTTGACATAATTAATGAAAAAGAACTTACACTAAATATTTATGTCCATTATTATAATTCATGCACGTATAATTGTCACTCACTGAGCGTAACCGCATAATACGCTTAATCACTATTTAAACTAGGTCACTATTATTTAACTGTTAATTTATTTTATAAGCGCGATGAGCACGTCTGTACGCTAGTACGATCGATCGATCGATCGAGCTTAAGTAGTTGAGTCGAATCATATTTTATATAAACGTACCGTATCTTCCCTTTTTGCTTTAATCTAAGCATTTCAGCACTTGTTCAACCAGCAGTGCCCTCCTGTTAATGTCCCTTAAGTGCCACAAGATCCGAGTCACACTCTATATAGGTAATTCTTTTTTTTTTATTTTTACCTGATAAAATAGGACTTTAGTTGACTTGAGACTTACCCGCATCCTAGTTTAGCTCTCGGTGGCACAAGTATCGAGAGGCGCATATCGGCCAACCGCTCTGTGTCGTGGCACAGAGTCGGCGAGGAGGACACGTCGGACCCTAGAGAGGCTCGCTCCGACACGTATTGCCATGACAAACACTCATGGGTTTTGCTATTACAAACAAAACGCACCGTTTTAATTCCTCGAAAACAGTATACCCACAATAGGGCATTCGAAGAGCACAGGAAAATCGAAAATGGAAGTAGCAAACATGTTATCTTGGATGTGCCCGCCATATCTGGCTTTTACAACATTTGATTCTTTGAATTTATCTGTATTGTTTTTGCGGGTTGGTGTACCTCTATGTGTGTACACAAATGTGAATTTTCACTCATTTCCGTTCCAGTCTAAGGTGTCATTGTGGCACATACAGTGGTGGTCAAATAATTAAAGACACCCCCTAACTAACCACAAAAAACTTAGTTATAGAAACATAAAATAAACTTAAATATTAGTAGAAACATTACCTAAACTTGGTATTTAATCTAGTTTAATTATTATTAAATCATACACGACGTTGTATTCTTACAATGTGGGACAAAAAATAGTTGTGTTCGTTAGTAGTCTAGACACTGCTCACTATGGGAACGTAACACAAACTTTTTTAACGTATTTATAGCTGGCCAGCTAATTAAAGACACCCGATTTGCTTAGAAGAAATAGAAAAAAAAAAATTATGATTGAAACTATCTTTATTACACAATATTCCTAACACATTTATAAAACGTTCCGGTACGTATCAATATTTGGTTGCATGTCCTTTGGCAGAAATGACAGCACGACATCCCTTGGGCATGGAAGCGATCAATTTTTTTACAAGCTTCCACCGGAATTTGCTTCCAAGCTTCTCTAAAAGATGTGTAAAGTTGATCGATGTTTGAAGTCCGTTTTGTCGCCACCGTCTTCTTCACCTGGTACCACAAATTTTCTATTGATTTAAATCAGGACTATACGAGGGCCAATCCAAAACTGTCACAGACTGGCAACTTAAAAAGTCTTTTATTACTTTTGCAGTGTGTTTCGGATCATTATCCTGTTGGAAAGTCCAAATGACCGGTAATTTTTCCTCGGCATATGCTGCCCGCATGGCTTGTTCGAAAATATTCTTGTACTGAAATTTATCCATGTTGCTTTCTATTTTCCTGATAGGTCCAACACCAAGTCCTGAGAAACAGCCCCAAAATTTGATATTTCCGCCCCCAGTTTAACTTTCGTGGTATACTTTGGATCCATTTTTTGCTATTTTCTGTATGACAAATATTTATTATGAAAGGACATTGTTCTGCGTCCATACATTTTTAGCCTAAGAACCAACAATCATGAAATATTATTTTCTAGGTTATAAAAACAAAGATTTATTGACGGACACTTTTGAGAACTTAAATTATAAGAAAAACTTAATATTTTTGAGGTTATGTTTAATATTAAAAGAAACATAGGTCAACCTATGAACTTAGTATGAGTTCATACTAAGTTCATAGGTTGACCTATGTTGTATGAATTGAATTAATATTACAACTAATTCATTTTTATTCGATGCGATTTTAAAGAATAACTATTAGGAAAAACTTTAAGGTAGGAATCATGAATAAAATAAAAACTGTCGTTTTGCTTCTTATTTTTTAACTATTTTTCACATAATTGTATCATATTGTATTTATTTGTATATCACATGTATATTGTATATATATGCAGCGTGAATGTGTATCAGCTGCTCTTGAATAATTTGGCAGTATGTATGATCCTCTCAGGATTTTGTGGCACAGGGTCTCTAGCACTTGGTAATAAGGGGTCTGCTATTTGGTAACATCGATGGTATATTAGATAGCCGAAATAGTTAAATTAAAGAAAAAACAATCGCAAATAAACACACACAACAGGAAATCCGAAACGAGAATCCACGAATGCCACAGATTACTACGAATGCAAACTGCCTGCACCACAACCACGGAGTATCGAGTTTTATGCCGGCCCTTCACTTGACAACAATCTGTCATTGGTAGTTTTCCAATTACAGCACTACAGCGCATTATGCGGCATAATGCCTATCGTTGAATGTTTCAACTACAGCAACGCTTCGCACAATCGAGTACTCTCAAAAGTAATGTTTTCGTATGATGCGTGCAATCGTACCAACTCAGTGACAGAAAATTAACAAGTATCTTTTCTTTAAGTTGGCATTGATTGAAATGTTTTATTTATTAAATATCGTTAGTAATATTATTTAATGTTGATTTTTTTAAAAGTTTTCGTTTCACTGTAGTTTTTTTTAAATAATCATAGTTAATTTAAACTGTGTTAAAAAATAAATATAAGTATGGATGAAGGTACAAACATTGTCTTTTTTTCACTGAACTTAGCGCACTCTGCTGGTGCATTTGAAAATTAATTCACGTTCCAATTAAATATCAGCATAATTCGGCATTGTGCGCCACTGAGTCGCATTATGCTCTGTAATTGGAAAACTACCCTTGTCATGCTTAATATGCAATAAAAAGGAGAGACTGATGTCAAGTTTTCAAAAAGCAAACACGAATAGCTAAGTGAAGTGCCGGCATTAGGAAGAAAGAGTGTTTTGTTTGCAGCGCTGCCACAGATTATACACATAAAATGGTAGTCTCAGATTATTTTTAACTTTTTAATATAGCTTACTTAACTCGAAGTGTCCGTCACAATCTAAATACTGATAATTATCGCAAAATATAAACTAAGAATTATCATAAATGCCAAATTAGTGTTGGTTCTTAGGCCAAATTTAACATTGTCCTTTAAAATAATCTTCCTAGTGGACGAATCGCAACTCTTGTTTTTTCCCATATTTCTGGGTTTAAAACGTATTCATTTTAATTAAAAAATTAGGTTTCATATGTAATATCGACGTTTAATGAAAATACTCGGCAAAACAAAGAAAAACAGAATGCAGTTTTTTCTTTATTCTTTTAAATTCAGAACACACCTTTAACTGTCTTTAATTAGCTGGCCAGCTACAAGGACGTTAAAAAAGTTTATGTTATGTTCCCATAGTGAGCAGTGTCTAAACTACTAACGAACACAACTATATTTGTCCCAAAAACAATTACACAAGATTAAATACCAATATTAGCTAATTTTAGTACCATAAATAGCTTTTTGTGGTCAATTAGGGAGGTCTTTAATTATGTGACCACCACTGTATGTATATGCGGGTGTTTTAAACTGTTGGTCCCGGTACTGATTTTAGTCGAGTAACTTATCAACAATGCATTAACACAGGTGGAAATTTATAGTGACTGTACAATGTTATAGCTTTTTATTAACTATAAACGGGAATAGATTATTCCCAATGGATAGTTAATAAGAAGCATTTACATTGTACATTCTGTTTAATTACTTTAATTATTGAGTAAAGAAGAATATAAGTAATATTCCAAACATACTTATTTTATGTCAATATTTATTTTAAAAGTGATTGTTACTTACTCTTTTACAGGTAACATTCCAACATCTGAAAAAGTAAAAAATAACGTTACGTTAATACACTTCTGGACACATCTATTGGCCCACCTTAGAGTTTAGGTTTCGATGGCCCCTACCGAAATATGATTGCTAGATTGAACAAAAACTGTTGATGCAGTTTTAAACCTGATACACTTTACCATCTTTTTCGATCGTATTGTTTTAAATTTGAATTCAGAATACCATACGACATGGAGCTACGAATAACAAGTCGGATATGCGCCTTGTTAAAGGCAATTGATTTTGGAATAGAAAACATGTTTTATCAAATAAAGGTTTAATTTAATAACGCGTGTTGCCTCCATGGGCATCTACCACAGCTCTCATACGATTAGGCATAGAGTTTATCAACCGCTCTATAAAATTTTGAGGGATCATCTCCCATTCCTCTTCTATGGCAGTTTTCAACTCCTGCATCGTCTGGGTAACTGGCTGACGAGCCCTAACACGTCTTTTTAGGTCGTCCCACATGTGCTCAATGGGGTTCATGTCTGGGCTTCTGGCTGGGCATTCCATAACTGTGATGTTCACATCCCGATGATATTCCCTGACGATGCCGGCCACATGGGCTCTTGCATTATCATGCATAAAAAGGAAATTTGGGCCCACATAGTCCGCGTATGGTATCACGTGAGGTTTTAAGCACTCACGAATGTACCTTTCAGCATTTAATGTTGGCAGCCGTGGTCCTGTAACAACCTCAAGTTGAGTTTTGCCGCTCGCGGATATACCGCCCCAGATAGTCCATGAGCCACCGCCATAAGCAACCCTCTCTTCAAAGCAGCATTGTGCGAAACGCTCTCCCTTACGTCGGTAGACCTTCTTCCTTTCATCATTGCCATGTAACACAATTTTAGACTCATCAGAAAAGAGTACACGGCTCCAATCTTGCTGTGTCCAATTTAAATGACTGCGTGCGAAATGAAGGCGCGCTGTTTGGTGGGCTCGCGTTAGTTTGGGCCCATTAGCTGGCTTGTGTGGTACCATATCGCGTTCTTTTAACCTTCTCCGAACAGTTCGAGCGCTCACAGATACTCCGTGGAAGTCGCGAATTTATTTTTGTATCTCAATGGAGGTAAGGTGACGATTTCTCAAGCTGGTCGTCACGATGAATCGATCCTGCCTTTCAGTTGTGACCCGAGATCGTGGCCTTCCTTGGCGACGAACAAAGCCGCCAGTCTCTAGGTACCTCCGATAAACATTTCGGACCGCAGATCGACTTAAATTAAGTTGAGCACTCACTTTTCTTTGGCTGTGTCCGGCCTGAATAAGTGCCACAGCTTGGGCGGCGACTTCAGGTGAAGTATCCATAGATTATTGATAGAACCTCACCTTAATGTTAAGAATAAGTAATGTTTGTTGCAAAACCAAAGATATCAATCACTTTTTCAAGAATTAAATCCAAGTAAACCAATAAAACCAAGTTTTCTTAGTATTCGATTGTTTGATATCAACAAACAGGCTCCAAATTGTCATTTGTTTCTTTAAATTCTGTGTTCGAAATTCAAAAAAAGACTATTGAATGAAATTATGAATGTGCCAGGTTCAAAACTGCATAAAAACTTTTTGCTCGACCTAATATAAAATTTTAGCTAGGACCAAACGAAACTGAAAATACAAAGTGGGCCAATAGATGTGTCCAGAAGTGTATATTTTATAACACATTTTCTCGTCAAGCGTCTCTTATTGCACCAATTTCAATATCATAATCTATCACATTTCACACGCGTGCGGTAATGTAAAGTTAAACGCACGGCTTATTATGTTCCGTCTAAAAACGAACGATACCTTTTTTAAATCTTAGCAAAGAGTTTTTATGTCAGAAAGGTAGCCAACATTTTCTTAATAAAATTAATTACCTTTGGGAGATAAAATATAATACTTATATAAACATTTAATTCTTTAATTTGATTCATTTTGACAATAAATTACAACCATGTATCGGTAACAAATTCACAAAAATATTAATTTATTAGTAACACTGGCTGTTTTTTGTTCCTTTGCCTAAAAAATGCATTGATGCGCGCACATCGCTAATCTGTAAAAAAGTTATTTCTTTTTCTTTTCGTTGTAGTGTTTTTAAATATTATCAAGTAGTAACGAATTTATTAATTTGACACCGCCAGAAGTCGAAAAGGCTACGCTAAGCCTCTTGCCCGAAAAATCCACGGATTTTTACTGTCAAGCGTATCAAAATATCATCTTATGGAAAACAAACAAAGGTGCAAATTAATTTTCAGGAAGTACATGCGTAGGTAGTATTATTTCCTCGCAAATGTGTTATAAAACGTCGTATGACATACGTGCGGTTTGATAATTACAGCCTCTGCCTTCTTATAGCCCTCACCTACGGCTCGGGCTAACAATATCGCCTCGGCTGTAATTCTCAACTTACCGCACTTTTATCATAATGTACCTACTATAATGATAACGATTACATTACACATTAAAATAACTCTTAAATTTTAATTAAGAGTAAGTATAACTTAATGTCATAGCTAAATTATAGCGGTCTTACTACAAAAAATTAAGATACGTTTAGCAAATTATTTATGTGTTTTTTTCTTAAACTCGTGTTGAACGCATCCCCAACCTTATTGTGGTACTATAGTATTTGTTTACCTAAGTCCTCGTAACTACACGTTTTAACCACCACGTTTTAACTACACAATAACTTTAAAAAATTCCTTAGCGATACATTACCTCATTCTTTAGTGAGGTTATTTATTGTATCTAAGCACAAACACTATTTTCTTATCGCTTATAATATTATCGCAATTTTATTAAGTAACAGATACAGATAGAAGACATAAACGAGAGCAAGAAATAAAATGTTTAATTCAGTCATTCATATTAACTTTTACACAGACCAATCATTTATTTTCCAAATCCCATATTTTATGTTAACCGATAATATAGAACCTCTATAATGATGACCTCGAATACTACGGTTGATTCTAGAGCTAACTCTGGTATGTCATTGGAACTGTTACAGAAAAAAACGCATCGTTACAATAGAAGTCAGGTAGTGAGACTTTCAATTTCGTTTGTAGTATTTTACGCAACCTTAGTATTGGAGTCCGAGTATGAACCAGGTCGCCCACGCGCTTTCTCGATTATCGCACTTCAAATCGCTGCCGACAATCACACACACTTCATAATGGCGTAACTTCAAGAAGTCAGATTAATTAGCATAATTATATTTACATCTCTACAATTCCGACGCGACACCTACATACATAACTAGCAAACCCGGCGAACTCCGTTTCGCCACCAGATGGCTTCGTTTTATGTAACATTTCGTTTGGTGATTAAAAGAAGTTTTTTTTTTTAATTTTTCCTGATTTTTCTTTGCTATAAACCTCACGGAGCCCGAGACCTTTCCAACGAATGCAAAACCGTGGAAATCGGTTCGTGCGTTCTGGAGTTATAGCGTCAGGAAGGAAAACCCGACTTATTTTTATATAGTAGAAGATAACTACGAAGACGAGAGATGGCATGGGTTACGTAAGTTATATTGTTCTTAATTCATATTGTAATTTCAGACAAAATTAATGACATGAGACAGAACACTAAACTATTGTCAATATTTATAAGAAAACCCCGAGTCACCTATTACGATTATAACTAGTACTTACTTCATTCAGTACATATTGCAACTAGGTAGATATACTTTAGTTCTTTTACTGAATCCAAATAAATTATTTCTGGTAACCCACACTGCTTAATAGGTACTTATAATTTATTTAAAAAAAAATATTTAAATACGTTACACATACGTAACCGAGGTCAAATAAATTTTAGACCTACCTGTTTGGCTGTGTGTTTGGGCA